AGGAGATGATCTACAGGGCACTGGCCCCTGTTGGTCTGCTCTAGAACCGCCCCTGCCTGTAGGATACCGGATTATTTTCTTCGCAGTAGTTCTCCCAGAGGAGTAGCCAGAAATTTTTTGTTGTCAAGTAATTGTTAATATATGAAAAATTTAAATGTTTTGAATATTCCACTTGAGAGTATTACTGCTGCCACCGTCTGTATTAAAGGGGAAGAAAAGGCAGGGGTGGCCAATGATTAGCTAAGGGTGGCCATGGCCACCCCTGGGCCCCCCCATCTAGCTCCGCCCCTGGGTTCTCCCCAATTTACTGAGTAATTATTAAATAAAAAACATTTTCCAAGAGTAGTAATAAGGATATAAATGATAGACCAAATACAATTATCTTGAGAAAAAATATATTTTATTTAATTTAAACCAGTGAATCTGATGGAGCTAAATTGAAGAAAAAGAACTGTTGTCATCTTTTCACAAAAAAAAACTATGCTAAATATAAAACTTAACATATTTCTCATTATAAATGCATTAATTTCATTCCTTACTATACAAATATTAATATTCTGAAATCTTTACATTAAGTTACAATTTAAGGGTATAAATTAAACAAATGTTTATCCGAATAGAAACGTGTCACCCTGCAAACATTGAAACATCAAGTCTTACAGGGATTCTCAACATCGGGAACATAAAAAGCCAAGTAAAAATGTACATTATGGGCCAATGGAAGATTTGTATGTTTTGATTTGTATGAAAACTTAAAAAAAAAAAAACTTAAAGAAAATGATTCTGAAAACACAGAACTTGATAATAATTGTTAAGAAGCATCAAAAATTAAGATATATTATATTTAAAATTTGTCCTAGAAAAAGAGAGTTAAAACATGGCGGCATCTACACATTAAAATGAACAGCAACGAAAAATAAATGCAAAACTGTCATCAGATTTTTTTTTTAATGTAATTTTGAAGGTTCTAATAGATACAATAAAATCTATACAGGTACATTTGAGCAATCAGAGAACAATTGGAAACAATAATTGACAAAATTAGAAATGAAATTCTTCAATGTTTTAATGTCTGATTTGGTGAGTAAGACCCTTTGCTGCAGAGCAGAGGACATTTCTTCACAGTAGAAGCTACTCAGACCATTTTCTTTGGTAGACCTTCTGCTGAAAGGAGGTGCTGAGAAGGATCCTCGACAACAAGAGGGCCTGGCCCAGCCTGAAAGTTATCAGGAAAAAATCACATCTTAAATAATAAAAAAAGAGACACATCCTTTGTTTGTATGCTTGTTATTGAAATGTTGAATACATTTTCACCTTTGTGCTGATGATGTAGTTCACTCCCTTTGGTAAAGGCTCTAAGCCGATACTCTGTTTCAGCTCCACAGTAAGAGCAGCAGACTTGACTGGAAGACCTTTAATAAAACTGAAGATAAGGAGCAACACTTAGAGACATTATTCCAGGAAACCAACAGCAAGCACACCTACTAGGTAAACAACAGTTTAAAACTTTTTATGAAAGGCAGCATCAGGTGCATATTGTTTTTTAAATTTATATTATATATATTTATTTTTTGGGGGGATATAATCCGGCTGCTTTATTTTTTTAAGTCAAAGTTCCAGACTCATATAGCTAACCTTGCATATAGTTGATAAATCTAGATTTGTGCACCTGTCCTTCTGTTTCTCCAGACTTAAGCCCTTGTCTGAAAGTCCCGCATGATTAGGCAAGAGGGAAATTCCCAACACATTTTACAAACATTACTCAGGTGAATATGATTGAGTTATACTCCAAAGCCCTTTGTGCTTTCAATAGAGCCCTGGGATCTCAGAAAATCTAATTAAGTGGTGAACATGAGAAAGTGATCTGTAAAAGTCATACTTGTTTTCATGTTTATCACTTGTCTATGTTTCAAATTTATAATCAGAAGTTCACCAGATTGATATCAAGGATCCTAAAAGCTATCAAAGCTTCTGGAGACTAAAAATTAAGGTGTAAGGTCATGAGGCCTGAGATCTTCTTACAATCAGATTAACATTTGGCTTATGGGTTTGTCTCACTACATAATAGTCTATAAATCTCTACCTAAAAGAGAAGCTTAAGCTGTAGGAATTCAGTGCAGCTGCTGTTAGATTTGTGCTTGTTTTATATGAGCAGGAAATCAAATAAAGTTGATACGCACAGCCCTTAGAAATAACAGGCGCCAAAATGTTGTTACACTAACGTTTATCTGCCGTCCATTGATTAGCACTGTAAAAACTCTACTGAACACATCCCAACAGGTTTCCTTTCATTTGACCTCATATGTGTCATATGTGTTTTAGCTAGAATAGCGACAAATATGTTGTTTAAAAAAAGAGCAAAGAGAAGCATTTTTTGTGGCACTAGTGGCTTGTTCTTGCAAAGTAGGCTGACAGGAACAGTCAAAATGAGCCTAAATGATACGTTTGTTTTAGATGTCTATGGCACATGCAGAGGCAAAATGTTTTTTTTTTATAAAAATTGTATCTAATTGGATTAAAAAACAAACAAAGAGATGGTCAGCTGCAGGGAATCTACAATCTGTACTGTCTGAAAGCAGTGTTAATTTAATATGCAAAATAAGTTGAGGAGACACTTAAGATGATGATGGAGGGACACAAGTGTTAGGAGGATCACTGGGAGTTTATGTAAAATTGCATCAAAACCTGGAAGAGTGCTCCCTTTCTCTTTCTTTCTGTCTGACGAATAAAGAGTTCCATGAAATCAAACTTAGATTAAAAGCCAATTTTAGATAAATTGGTACTTTTTAAATGTCCAATGAAAAGTAAAGGTACACTGAACATTAAGGGGTACTAAATAGTCTGCTGTAGTTCTAAACAAACATATACACATTTTGTACATTTACCTTTAATTGTAGAATGACATTTTTAGAAATTAGTATTTTTATTCCTTAAGGTGTAAATTTGAGTCTTTGTTTTGTTTTTATATTTTATCTCTATTGTGAATCTGGATGCTTTCATTTGCCTTTCAGTTTGCTGCTGGGACATCTGAATCTATCCCACTTTACCACAAAACAGGATCTTTCTAACATGATCAGTTCTTCTAAAATGTAGGAAAAGTAAACTAAAATAAAAATGAATTGTTACTCATAAACCCCGCCAAACAAAAAAAAACAAAACAAAAAAAAAAAACACCACATACTCTTCTCCATTTCTGTCTGGGGGAAAGAAGTGTTGAACCAACTGGACAAACTCTGGAACAAACTGCTGCAAAGCAAAGATCACAGCATTGGGACCAGCATCGAAGCTGTAGGCCACCTACAAGAGAGCAAACAGAGCGACGAGCAGCTCAGGAGATGCACTTTCAGGTTCCTCATTTTAAAAACAACCATGGAGGTTTCACATCTTCATTACACAACTTGAGAAGTTCAGTAGAAAAAATGAGGCAAACTGGTGTTAGAAGAAATGGAGATAATAAAAAAGACACAAAGCTAATGAGGATTTGTGTTTTCTGACCTGATTTTACCTTTTCTTTTTTACCATTCATTGAGCTATAATTATAGTAATCCTGCTGTATATTAATCCATCTTTTGTTTCCAGAACACAAAAATGTTATCATTTTAATCCAAATAAATAACTACAATGATAAAATAATTACAATGACATTTTGTCTTTAGGAGCTGTTCATTTCCTCACCCTTGTCTCCCCGTAGTATTTGTTATAACGATGCACCAAGTGGATGATATGCTGGGAGACACTGTTGAGGTAGAAGATAGGTGGGTGTGTGTCAAGGCAGGTAGCATGAAGCTGGTTGCTTTCCTTCATGGTTAGCTCTGCGAAAGCAGGAAAGTCCTTTCTTCGCACTGCCTCGATCATGTCTACCATTCGATGTGGAACGATAGCCTCTGCTCGGTGCTATGCACAAACACACAAAGCATACACGCTCTCATCCCCATCTTTCAACTAGACGGGTTCAGAATAAAATATAGGACTCATAAAAACACATAATTTACCTTTAACAGTAAACTTGTTTGTACGCTGGTCTGCATTCCAGAGGTGCTTCCTATAGGCTTGCGCTCAGCACTGGCCTAAGAAAAGAAAACAGAGGGTTCAATACATACATGTTCAATACATACTCTGTGCCAAGACTCAAAACTTTTTTTTTTTTCACTTTCTGAATTGAAACCTGTCTATAATTCATGTTTTAGTTTGGTTATAATATTACCAAATATTGCTATTGGTTAAATGAGAGATATAACGCTAACGATAGAAACGTGCAATGATATGAGCTGAAACTTCATCATTTAGAAAGTTTACACCCGCTTAAGCCCCCGAAAAGTTACGTTTCATTTTTTTTTTTATGAAAAAAACGGTGAAAACCCAAGGAACTTACTATGTCCTTGACCAATTTTGAAAAGTCGAGATGATTTCATGACTTTTTAAGCTTCTGATTGGTAAATTTTTAAATTTGAGTTCAATGGACCCAAACTTCTTGATCTATTTTAGGTCATAAACATGTTTCAACTGTGGGTTTCCAAAATGTTGTTCAACCTTTGGTCTGATTCCCAGATGTTCATCTGTTCTGGCCAACACAAGCAGGTAAAAACACTACGGGAATACATGCATACTAATAGTTATATACACGCATAGTTTTTTTTTTGCCATCTGTATTTTACTGGATTATTTATTTTTTTAATGGATTTTTTTTGCCTTTACTCACTACATTTGAACACATATTTATAATTTTCTACTCCTCAATTTCTCTCAACTAGCTCGTTACTTCTGCACATACTGACATCGACATGACACCTGCAATATAACCGAGGGAGAAAATCAAGAGAGCAAAAACAATCTGTGCAGTTTAGCACAGTCTGCTTATGGAAAAACACTGATAGCAACACGGACGAAGACAGGAGGCTGGAAAATTGCAGATGATGGATCAGATTTTTTAGATAAAAGACGCATCCAGTCCCTCTGTATTAGATTTTACATTGAAATGTTGACATTATGATTCATGATCCATTTCAAGTTTAATGCTATTTGCAACCTTAATGCTGTGAAAACCAAAACTCTAAAATTATTAAACCTCTCGTGCATTATTTCTGTTCAGTTCAATCTATATCATCCCATCTAAAAGTGTTATTTTAGAACCAAAACTGTATTTTTTCTGTTCTCCCTACCAACACAGTGAGCAAAAGAAAAATTTTCTGTGCAAAGAATGTTTTTTTTTTGTAAGAATAAAGTTTTTAAAGGTTTGTTCAAGGCAAAAAAAACTTAATTTAGCTTTTGAACTTAATTACTTATTTTATACTTTTAGTTAAGTAAAGGAAGTTCAATGTCTACTTTACCACTGTACTGTACAAAAAAAAAAAAAACACATACCCAAACAGACAGGTATGGGTACCTTAAGTAAAAAATGTGAGTACGTTTAACATTTCTGCTCACACCTTGTCGCATTTATGCGTTAATCTGTGGTATGACTCAGCATGCTGATCATCGGGGAGAGGACTGTGAGCGTGAGAATGTTAATCCAGAGTTTAAGGTCACTTTTGATTCTTTTATTATTTATCATTTTTGACAAATCGCTTTGTATAGTTATAGCTCAGTGCTGCCAGCATATATAACATGCTGGTTTCAGACCTGATAAAGTCAATCTATGATTTAANAAATTTTCTGTGCAAAGAATGTTTTTTTTTTGTAAGAATAAAGTTTTTAAAGGTTTGTTCAAGGCAAAAAAAACTTAATTTAGCTTTTGAACTTAATTACTTATTTTATACTTTTAGTTAAGTAAAGGAAGTTCAATGTCTACTTTACCACTGTACTGTACAAAAAAAAAAAAAACACATACCCAAACAGACAGGTATGGGTACCTTAAGTAAAAAATGTGAGTACGTTTAACATTTCTGCTCACACCTTGTCGCATTTATGCGTTAATCTGTGGTATGACTCAGCATGCTGATCATCGGGGAGAGGACTGTGAGCGTGAGAATGTTAATCCAGAGTTTAAGGTCACTTTTGATTCTTTTATTATTTATCATTTTTGACAAATCGCTATGTATAATTATAGCTCAGTGCTATCAGGATATATAACATTCTGGTTTCAGACCTGATAAAGTCAATCTATGATTTAAGTTTGAAAATAAGTTAAATTAAATGTCTGAAAGGAATTACAGTGCTATATGGCTAGAATTCTCAACCTCACCATCTGTGTAACCAGTTTCCCCCAAGCTCCATAATGATCTTAATTTTTAGGTCAGAACTGATATGAAGTATTACACATTTTCACATAAATTTTGTTATTTATATATCACCGCATTTGCATGGAAAGTGGCGTACACAAGTTTCAGGCCCTGTTTTGAATCTACTCCAGCTGTACAATGGCAGCCAATTTAATGAACAGCATTTCATTGGCTGCTAGCACATTTTAGGATTGATTTTAAAATCCTTTTATTTGCTTTTAAAGCTCTTAATAGTCTTGCCCCACCCTTCCTGTCTGAGCTGCTAACCTCTCGCTCCCGTGTCACACCTTGACGATTTAGCCAGTGTATGCCTAATGTACGAATAATCTGGCAAAAACACTGGCATACGTTGGATAATTTATGGGTACGCTTTGTATAAGTTATGAGCACGCTGAAAAATGCCGGCAAACGTCGACATATGGAAAGTACATTGAGAAGGTATGACAGCATATGCTCATTCATGGGTCATACGTTACAGGCAAGTTATCTGATCATTGACCTAGGTTTAGTGCAAGTTACTCATAAGTCGTGGTGTGTAACCTATGAGTAACGTGTGCATAACTTATGCGTAACTTTTCAAGAACTTATTTCCAACACATATCAACGCATTTAACATGTTCCAGACGACCACTGGACAGGTTTCTAATGCGTATTGGCAGCATTTTGGTATGAAAGGGGGTTCACAGGAGGAAACGTTCTGAACCCTTTCAGACTGAACCCCCATCATAGGTTGAGTGAGAAGGTGAGTGTGATGGATCCTCCCTAAGTTCATGCCCACTGCCAACAATCTTTCTAGCAGACATAACGCTGAATCTGCTGCGACTGGAATCCTTCTTTCGTTCTTTTTCTTTCTTCTTCTTTTTTGTGGTAGGTGGTAAACAGCAGCTAGGTTAATACCGCAATCAAAGAGATCTTTTTATGCAGGCCGGGCCGCCTCTGGACGCATTGCTGCTTGTGACATTTCATGGGCATTACGCTGCCATGCATTATGCATAAGTTAGGCTGTCCTGGACAGAAGTTCTGGACTCGTTATGAATATGCTATGCATACGCCCAAACTGGAAAAAAATGTTTTAGGAGATTCTGGGACGTCAGGCATATGCTGGCTAAATGGTCAGGGTGTGACAGGGGCCGCCTTAGATCAGTTGTTACTGAAGGTGCCAAAGACAAAATGCAAGCTCAGAGGGGACCATGTGTTTTCTGTTGCAGCCCCTAAGCTGTGGAATGACGTTCCCTTGACCATTAGACAGGCCTCTTCTCTTTCTTGTTTTAAGCCTCTTCTTAAGACCCATTTATTTTCCTTGGCTTTTAACACAATCTGAGATGTTGACTTTGTCTCACTTTTATTATTGCTTTTTATTTTATTACTACTTTTATACACCACTTAATTTATCGTTTGTATGATTGATTATTTGCATTTTATGATTGTGTATAGCACTTTGGTCCTGTTGGGTGTTGAAAGTGCTTTAACAAAACTTGGTATGGTATTCCTAACAAACTTAAAAACAGAAAAAAAAAATTGTCTGACTATATGTCCACTGTGCGAAAAAAAAGTTATGCATGTTTATATATTGATTATTTATTCTCCAGATGCACAGTATTTATATTAATATTTATATTATTATTATTATTATTATTATTATTATTATTATTATTAAAAACACTGTATAGTACAGTATTTTAATTATTTTTTGTTTAAATTTTTTTAACTTAAAAAAAGTGCATAAACATAACTTATTCTGTTGTGTTTATGCACTTTTTAAGGTCCACATTTGTGTGACCACTTTTGCCTCTGTAACACCACTGTTTCCCCAATAAAGGGACAATAGAGGGATTTTCTATTACTATTTATATTACTAAATATAAAGCTTAATTATTTTAAATAGCATGAACTAAATAATAAGGGTGCTGTACTTAATGCTTTTTACATGTAGATACATATATGTCAACAATCATTTTCAGAGAAATGTATAAATCAGACTCACCACTAGAACAAGAACCCTGAGTTCCGGCCAGTGGCTCTCTGGCTCCACCTGCTGAGCTACGCTGTCCTTCCCATCCTCCTTGCTTCCCATGATCCATTGGACAAACCCACCATACATGCTTCTGCAGGCACTGCCTGAGCCTTGACGGGCGATCCCTGACAGCTCTCCTTCCACACCAAATGCCTGGGCTAGCGTATAAACTGCAAAAAGAAGATGTAAAAAACAATATATGTTACAATAAAACAGTTTCTTTTTTGGGAACTATAACAGTGGATTGCAAGAAATACAAAGGCTCACCCAGACATGCATAGCCAGCTGCTGAAGAGGCCAGTCCAGCAGCAGTGGGGAAGTTGTTAACAGAGCAAATGTGGACTTTATGAGACAGTCCCACGGACTCAGTCGAACGAGGGTTTCTTTCACTGCGTCTCTTCCTTGCTAATCTTCTGACTAAGTAGAAGGAAAGAAATAAGTGCATCCGATTTAGAAGCTTAATATTTCTGTACTCTAAACGATTTTAAAGTGCAAACGCCAGCAGAGAGGACTCACTCTCTCTCAGGCAGGACTGAAGTCTTGGATGAGAAATGTCCTCTTCTTTGCCATTGAGCCACAATCTGTCCTCCTTAAAGGATCTGCTGATTGCAACTGTCGTTGTTGTTTTTAACTTAACAGAAAACAATACAGGAAAGATTCATACATCTATTTTTGCTTTACACCATCATAGCTCTGCTCAAACTTTAAAATATATAGATAAATTAGTCACCCCTGGTTACAATGAAAGGTTAAAATAAAAAAAAACTATAAAATGGCACAGGAAAAAACAGTGTTCCACTTTTTAACACCATTACAAAAAATAAATTATGACCAGAGTTGGTAAACTTTGACATATTATGATCATTCCATTATACTAATGTTATTGTGAAATTTTAATTTTCAATTATGATTTATATGAAAGCTAACTTTAGTAGCAGGTTTAATAAACAAGAAATCCACTGAAAGATATACATATTTTCTGGGCCCCTATGTTTTACAGACAGTCAGGTGTATTAGTCTTCCAAGCATTGTACAGAAACAGGTCGGGGAGGGGTAACAATCTTACTGAATTGGACTGGATTTCCTGTCATTTCAACAGGACAAATAAAGAATTGCATTATAGAACCTCGGACAAATTAAAACACGAGCATGTTGCTGCAAAAACAATACTTTACTGACTAACAGAGTAGGAGGAACTAATGTTTGTCATGCATTAGCTGTGAATAAAGCTTAACTGATATTTTTCACCTACCTGTTCTTGATGCAGAGTGACGCTTAAAGATGAATTGATGGGTAAAATTAAATCTTCGTCCCTCTTGCCCCCTGGAATATGAAGCGTTTCATTAATTAAACCGACAAAAAAGCGTTTAAAATGTCAATTAATTTGTTAATTAACAGCGATTGCAGCAATTTTAAACCAGATAACGTAAAGGTGAGAAGCTTTAGCAGTCAGTCGCTACTATAACCACTCAGTTACAGTTACATTTAACGTGTACTTACAGTATTTAATAACAGCTATATTCATAGGAGCCGTGCAGGTAACCATACACGGTGTGTCCATGTTGTCTTCAGGCATCGCTCTGTCTGTAAACCCGTTTTAGCAATTCCAAAATAGCATCAATTCAGCCACTCTGAAGGAAGAGTTTAAGTGTTTAGCATTATCTGTAAAGCTAATTCAACCACACTGTATCGTTTTCCTAGCAATCTCTTCTGATTGGCTGATTATAAACATGTGGTTTTACCATTCACCAATCACCTCACACATGCTTGACGTAATAGTCCAAGTGGCCAATCAGAGACCATCTGACCACGGTCGCGCAGAAGTGGGGCAAGGACACGCGCCTATAAAAAGTTTTTAATGTAGCAAATGAAGTTCTGAAAACAGCTACAAATAGGTGCATACCATTGAATTAAGACATTAGAATGAATTAATATTAGGGTCTAGATTTATGAGAAAATGCAAAATATATTTTAAGGAGGTCCTCCATAATACACACACAGGTTGACACATTTGAAGGGCTTATTTATCTAAAATCTAATATGACACAAGAAAAATGGACTCCAAAATTGTTTCTAAGACTTAACATTTGACATAAAAAATATATATATATATATATATATATATATATAAAAGAAACGTCATGGACTGAAAAGTTATTCCTTGTACTGAATAATCTAATTTGTAAGAGTTTGTAAATTTAAATACTCCTCTAAAAGTTTGTAAGCAGTGAGAAGCAAGAATCAGTGTAAGATTTCTTAGCTGTATGATCATGGACATTACTGCAATGACTCGATCATGCTTCCTACAATGTGACCTTACCATTTGGGGCAATGTCATCCATGTCCAGTCCGGGCATCTGCATTAGCATGTATAATGCAAGGTTATAATACTTTTAGAGATATAAGCCAACAACTAATACACTCCAAACAGTCCTCTGCCACCCATCCATTTTCTAACAAGCTTAGTCCCAAGCGGAGTCGCGAGGGGTGCTGGTGCCTATCTCCAGCTGTCAATGCGAGAGGCGGGGAACACCCTGGACAGGTTGCCAGTCCATCGCAGGGCAACACAGAAACAGACAGACAGGACAAACAACCATTCACACACACTCACACCTAAGGGGACTTTAGAGAAGCCCCCTGCAGTCATGATTTCGGACTGTGGGAGGAAGCCGGAGTACCTGTAGAGAACCCACGCATGCTCAGGGAAAACATGCAAACTCCATGCAGAAAGACCCCAGGCCGGGAATCGAACCCAGAACCTTCTTGCTGCAAGTGCTGCCCACTGAGCCACTCAGCAGCCCCAGTCTTCTGCATGTGATTATTAAAAAACTGATATTGTAATCTTGTTATATTGCACAGCCCTTTACAGAAATAATGAATCACATCAGCAGACGCTCCAACCACTGACATCTTGGTTTCTAAATGTGTTACAAAACTCCCTTTCACCTGAAAAGAGACTATGGGTGACTGAGCAGTAGCCCAGTTAGTTGCTTCTCTGGTTTTGGAATATCTGAACACCAAGAAGATAGGAGGCCAAGTCTCTGCATGGGGCCACAGTCCACCCTCAGACCTGGAAGTTTGAGGGGGTCTGAATTTTTTTCCTCCTACTCCATTTTCCATTTATTAAACAATATTCTCTTAAAAAAAAAAAAAAACTTTTCAAAAATAACTTATAGTGAAGCGTCCTCAATGTGGATGAGTAACAGACTACTGGAAAACTGTCCAGTCAGCTATCTTTCCAAGGATTTGACTGGTCTCATGTCAATTTTTTTCATTAGTCAATAGCTCAATCTTTAAAATAAAAACTAAACACTAAAAAATACATGAGTCCCTAATATGTTTAAAAAATATAATTACTGTAACATTTTGATTAGATCATGTACAAAACTTTAATCGACAATTGCATATGAATGAAAGTCTTAAGACTGAATGACCTGTATCCTGGCAGTGACATTTTTACGGTTTTTCTCTAACAGTACTTTGAAACAATAGTAATCTTTGTTTGGAAGATTATATTCAAACCTGAAAACCTTATGTATGTAACTAAAGGAAACTGCTTCATTTGCACAAGTTGATAAATAAAACATTGGTGTGATGGAAGAGAATAGCAAAAATTAAGGCTTTGTTTTTTATTATTTTAATGAAAACTTTAGCAATACGAGTCTGCAACAAGAAAACTATGTAAGAGCAATGATCAAAGCTACCAGGATGTTAGCTTTGAGTAAATAAGATTACAGAACAGTTCAGATGAGTTAATCTCCAGCAGTCTGCCTCGCTCTGTTTGTAAAACAGACTTTAACCATAAAGAAAATTTTGTGAAGAGGAGTCAGAGTGCTTTCAGCTATCATGGGCACATCACAAGCTGTACAAATTTGTAGCAACTTGAGTGAGAAGAGATTACAAAAGAGCCTTCGTTAACACTCTGTACTTTTCTGAAACCACCCTCAACACAGAAAATATTAACCTATTGTCCTTGTTCTTCTGTTTAATGTATCCATTCCAAGGAAAGGAAACGTGTGTATTTTATATAAATACACAATTCAGAGATCTTTGCAGAGTCCCGGCAATGCAGATCACTTCCTGGATCTTTTTTTTTGTCAGATTCCAGGGCTTCAGTCAAAACTCAGTAATCATCCTCGTCGTCCGAGTCCATCACCCTCCGTCTGTTGAACTGCCAGCCAGACACAAAGCACAAAAATAAGTGGGACATAAAACCATTCAATCATGCAAGACATTATACAGGGTCTTACTGTAACCGTTGTCTTTTTCTCCGTTTGCTGGCTGATTTTTTCTAGGATCTCAATTAATCCAGACTCAGAAATCTGTTTAAAGAGGAAAGTTGCTTGTTACTCCTCAGCGGAGCTGACAGAATGAACCGTTTGATGTCATTTCACCTTTCCTCCCAGCTTTCCAAATCGTGCCATCTGAATAAGATAGTTCTCGACTGCGTTGGCCTTCTCAGGCTTCACCAATGCAAGATTGCTTACTGAAAAATAATAAATTAGATGTAAGTTTATATATTTATAAGTTCATTCTTTTAGGAGAAAGACACGACTGTAAACACCCACTCACATCGTGCTCGAGCAGACTGATCCAGTACTTGCGCTAAAATCGAGTTCCTCATCTCCGTTTCTCTGAATTAAAAAAAGAGCATCGTCACAGTATCAGTTTAAGAGGAAACCCAGGTAAAAGACAAAACAATAAAATAATTCCATTTAGTTATAGATAAATCATAAGATCTGCTGAGAACTTCAATGACAGGTATCCAATGTTCAGAATGACAACATACATGTTTTTAAGAGGTTTACTTGCATGAATATTCACAGGATTTTTACAAACTTGGAAATTGTGGAATAAGGGATGTTCGGATCAAGATTTGCTTTTGACTCTTGTTAAAATTTGGTAAGAATAAGCAGATACATTTCACATGAACAGATCTGCATTCTGTAAACCCAAAGTATAATACAGTTATAATAAACAATGCTAATTTTATGCCCAACACCCGTGTAGCTCTTACAGGGTTTATACAGGAATAAGTAACTCTAGTTTAATGCTTTTTATTTCTCTTTTAAAGCTCTCAGAAAAATGTTTAATGCCATCTATATATCTATCTATATTAGGGGTGGAACGGTTCACAAAATCCACGGTTCGGTTCGATTCACAGTTTCTGGTCACGGTTTTCGGTTCGGTTCGATACATGTTGATTGTTACACCGAAATCCCATAAAAATTTATGAAATTAATGAAAAAAATCCCCCAAAAAATAATGGATTGTAATTATTTTAAATGATCCGCGGAAACCCTGGATCATTTCCGTATGTTTTGCTGCTTTGAATTTAATCATCTCACGCATGCTCTCTACCATCTCCATACGGAAATGATCAAGGGTTTCCTCGGATCATTTAAAATAATTACAATCCATTATTTTTTGGGCGATTTTTTCATTAATTCCATAAATTTTTATGGGATTTCGGTGTAACAATCAACATGTATCGAACCGAACCGAAAACCGTGAATCGAACCGAACCATGGATTTTGTGAACCGTTTCACCCCTAATATATATATATATATATATATAAATAAAATGGCAAATCCTTCGCCATCTTTATCTTCAACAGGGTGCAGCAATGTCCCGAATTCCTTGTTTTCCAGCCACTTTTGTTGAAATTAGCATTTTCCCATTCCCTAGCCTTTTCTCCACTTTGAGCTTCTTTCCGAACATAAAGCTTTACGATCAACCGGAAGCAGTTCCGCACAAACATGCGGAATCCGTTATACCTGATATAATATATCTGATGAAATTGCTTTTATAAACTTTTTTTTTTCAATAAAGCATTTAAAATGTTACTATAAATCACATTAAATAAATGTTAATGTCAATTAAGGCATTAATTTAATAAAATAAATATTGAATGACTTTTAATGACCCACGGAAACCCTGTCTTAAGAACAGTAAGTAAAATCAATGTGACTGACTTACATGACTTAGTAAACTGATGTTATGAAATGCTGCATTATCATTGAAACTATAACAAATATCAAACTTGCAAAAACTGCTAAACTTCTCCCATCCCGTTTTAAAGCAGCTTCTTGTTATAGAAGTTGAAATCTATTGTTTTAGTTATTTTTATGCCAACTGCCTTTATCAGCAATCAAACCTTACCCTTGACTGTCTCTTATGTGAAGAAGGGTTAGATTTGGTTCTTTTTAAAGCAGATGCTGATACCGTTTATTCTATCATTAGTCTAACCAATCCCTGATATGTGCTGTCATTTTTTTGGACCGTTTATGCAGCAGATATTTCATCATGATAAAAATTAGGTGGTAATAAATATTTGACGTCTTAATAAAAAGTAAAAAATACTAACATATTAAAACAATGGAGAACAAATGCAGGGAGCAGCAATGCATGTGCTGCACCTGATTTGCACTAATGAATAGGCAAATGCATTAACATAGTGGCAATAGAAGTAAAAAAAAACAAAATGTTAACATTGATCCAAATATTGTCCAGCCGATGGATCAATCCATGTGTAATTAGTTGAACAACTTAATGAAAGATGATTTAATCGTCTTCACTTCAGGCCTTTCTATATTTAAGGGATCTTACCTCTGCTTAGCTTCCTCACCCTGCTGATTGTTTGGAGCATCCTAAAAACAAACAACATAGTCAGGTTTATTGTACAGATTCTGCACTAAGATTACACAACACACAGCCAATATGTTTGATTCCATTATTAATATAATGAATAAAATAACGAATTATAAATACCATGTGGCACTGAAACTGCCCTCTAACTTAGATCTATCTTACTGTATTTATCACTGAGATGTAGGAATCAAGGTTTCATTGACCATACTTGTCTATGGATTCCTTCTAAGGTCTGACTCGCTAATGTCAATTACCAAGGAACCAGATTTTGTTTAATACTACAATTTATACAAAATTTGATTTAAAATATGCCTAGTTAAAATAATGAACACAAGAAATCATCATATTGGCCTTCTTTTGATAGATGAAAGCATGCCTCCTTAAAAAGGATACATGCATAGTCACATTTTATGCCTATACAAAGAAAGAAAAAGAGTCCTGTTACGATTAAATTGTGTAATCTACGGTACTCCAAGCATCTGTCCTACTAGGGTGCTTATAGTCCTATTTGAGCCTATATGAAACCCCAACAAATAAACAGACATGGCACCATCTACAGGTAGTTCTGGCCACTGATGCTGCTAATAAATTCTAACCCAGCTGTTTCCCAGCATAGCTGGAAATTCATTCCTCTTTGGATTAAACCTCCTCTTGCACCTTTCAAAGACTTTATGTGGACTTTTTTTTGGTGACTCTGCTGGGAGTTCCACACTTAATCCACGCTTGTGTTTTCACCATTTGTTTTTTGACTTATTTTTAACAACTGTTTTTAATCATTTCAAAAAATGCTTAAGAAAAACATAAAACAAACCATTTTAATAATTCTAATTTCTTTGCTAGATTAGACGTGGACAAAATTGATAATAAATGTAAAAAGCTTTTTTTTTTCTTTTTTTTTTTTTCCCAAAACTACCTCCAGGTTAAGTTGGAGCCCAAAATGAAACAACACTAAAAAATATTAATAATATATAAAGTCATATTCTCCACAATTTATCTAGATGGGCAACAAGAAAACAAAAAGGAGCTGCTCTCTGTATTTCATGAAACATATTTCCAACAAACTTTTGTCTGCTCAGTTACTAAAAGGAAAAAGCAGTAGATAAATCACTATGAACTTCCAGTGCAGGACTGTAGTTCTGCATTGCTGGGACATAAAAATCTTTTCTTTGTTTTTTTTTAATCAACTAGCGCATATAATTGAGAATTATCACTCAGGAGGTTTAAATGAGAGATCTCCCCAGTCCAGCCTGCCCCAGGATTTTTCCACGGGTTGTCAAAATACAATTAACGTGGGTTTGACTGATTTGACAGAAACGTCTTGCTTGTTGTAACTAAATATCTACCGAGACCTGATACTATAAATAAGTTAGTAGCGTATCAGCCTAAACACAGAAAATGGGCTATTTATATAAATCGTTAATATTTTTGTGTCAGTTTCAGGTTTCAGGGGGTGGGTGTGAGCTCAAACAATCACACCAAGCTAGCACTAACGTTTATGCTAACGGAGGGAAAGCCATGCAGCTTGACTAAACTACACCTTGTATTTTATATAATTCTGTAGACAACTTCAATGCATTTTCAGCGTTTATTACAACCACATTGTTAGCAGTGAACTGACTGAGTCCAGCATCTCCTAATAAGGAGGCCTTCAACACGTTTCCAGCTCCTGCTCAGTCCTTACCGCCTGCTTCGCCTGCAGCTCCGCCATTCTCTGCCGCCTTATCGCCTCCAATTCTTCGTCTGCCATTGCTGCTTAAAGCAGAGTAAACCTTCAAATATAAAACAGGATAAGATACTGTATCCGAAACGAACACTCCAAGCAAGAAGAGTCTAGGCCTTTCCAACACAACCAGGACACGATAATCGAACGCAGAGAACAATGATCCCGCACTCAGGGGAGAGCGATGGAACTTCTTCCTCGTGTATTTTATTGGCAGTTGGCAAACAACTTTTGCAGCGCATTACCGCCACCTTCCGAAATTGAGTCTGGGACCAGTCAGTAAAATCAGTAATGGAGTAAAGTATAGATACCTAAAAAGTGTACTTAAGTACAGTAACGAAGTATTTGTACTTTGTTACTTGACACCTCTGTAAAAAAGGCCTTAATAACAAAGTCTGGTCCATTCCCTGCTAATATTTCTTTGATTAAGAATTGCATTTTTTGTTCTAAACATTTAGCTTTACAGTAAATCATCGCTTCTGGTTTTATACTTTTTACAATAGGAATTACAGGCTCTACAGTTTCTAATTCTCTGTTCAGTCCTGTGTGCCCAAGTCTCAAATGGGACATAATATCTTCTTCCTTTCAATTCTTTTTTTAATTTCGAAGATATATATTTCCCTACTTTCCTCTGTAAGTTCCAATAAAATCACCTTTTCCCAAAGTTGTTTTTTTTTTCTTTGATAATACATTTCCCTCTGATTTACTTATTTGACATGGAAATCTATAGCTGTTTCACAAGCTCCCTTCTTTGTAAACATATCTGCTACCTCATTTCCCTCTGCTCCTATATGAGATGGAACCCATACAAAAAAAAGCTTTGCTAGAACTGAACAGTCTATATAAAGTCTGGTTGATTTCTAAAAGATTGTCTTGAATCTGATTTGTTTGGATACCATATAATGCACCTCTAGAATCTGAAATTATTAAAGCTTTCTCTGAATTATTGTGCTCTCTCGAGTTTAATAAGTAAAGCCAATAATTCTCCATTTAAAACAGATGAATTATTATTATTATTATTATTATGACTCTTTTGTTCTATAAAATTCCTAAATCATTTATAACAAAATCAATTCCTGCTTTGCCCTTCATCATTTTAGATGCATCTGTTTATATTGCATCATAAAATAAGACTCCCGAAAATATACAGTAGTTATTAACATCTTTACTTTTATACGTCTTCCATTTCAGCAGATTTAAGTCAACCTTTACTTTGTGAAAAAAAAAACATGGATTTATAACAGACAACAGACTTAGTTCTAATTCAGTTAGACATGTTCTTTTACAGCCCTTTCTACCATCCACAGAAAACTAGAAAAGTGTTTTAAGACTTGCTCTTGACAAGGATGGAAAAGCTTTTTCACAGGGAAACTTTTACTCTATCCCTGCAAATGTGCTCAAAAAAGCAGTTATTAATATCTTCTCCATTTCAAAGGCATTTCAACCACTTCTACCTTGAGAGTTCCGCAAAGCTTGAGCCTGAATAATGTCAAACTTTTTTTAGATTACTTTTAGCTGCCAATCTATACACCACAATAATCAATAACCGATCTAATCAGTGCTACATAGATTGATTTTTGCTCCCCAAACATGCCCTCCTAGACATCTCATCATGTTAATTACCCTCTTGCATCTGTCTACACCTTTATTAATATGCAATAGCCATAACAGCCCAGAATCAAATCAGATTTTCCAAAAACAGACTCATTTACCCTTTCTAAATTATGCCCATACAAGTTAATATTTTTATTACTTATATTTGTCTTGTAAAAAACCCAGGAAAGGATGGTTGTATTTATCAGACGGTTACAGTGTGTGACTCTCAAAAAAATTATGCTTTCAAATTTCACACAAGCATTAGAGCTTTCACACAATAAATGATCCTTTTTATACATTTTTGATATCTTGAAATCTTAATCTTTTGAAATCTTAAAAAAATTACACATTCTGACAGTAATGAAAAAACATATTTGTTTTTGTTATTCTTGATCTACTTACAATATTTCAACATCAAAATAAAAATAAAAAAACTACCAGGAGTACACTAATTAGTTATCAGCCCTAATTTCCTTTACTTTGGAAGATCAGGCTGACGTTTACGTCTTATCTACCTTTGCAAAGGTCTCAAAATAAGCCACTGTCAATGCTCTAAACTTTTAAATTACATAGAGCGTCAGCTTTTGTTTCTTTTATTGTCTCGTAGGTATTGTTTTTTTTATTTAAATAAGATTGAAACATTGTAAGTGTCTATTGTAGTCGAATAAAAATTCATAAAAAACAGTGTTGGTGAAATTAGACTTGCAATTTCGTCCTTAACATGTTTTTATAGTAAAGAAATCCATATCATAAACATTCATCACTATTATACGAATTACGTTTACATAATAATAATGAATAATGATGGAAGTCAAAAACCGTTAACACGTTTGAATAATGCAGGGAAAACAATCTCAAAGTTAGACTTATTTGTGTGTTTTACACCAGATTGAGTACATGTGAAGTTTATTTCTATGGTTGTAATAAAAAAAAAGATTTGAAGTTGTAAAGCTAATTCTCTTGGAGAAAATGAACATTTGCTTCTTTCATCACTTTGTTGCAATGACCATAGCCTACTATGTGGAGTAATCAATGCCTTTTTCTTCAATCAGGCAGTCAGAAGGCAAAGGTTGAGGCGATTGATCACAAATCTTCTCTAGCTCCCCCTGTACGTGCTGTAGGAGAAACGACTGACAAGCAGCGGCACATGATACCTCTGGTCCGAGTCAGTTATAGTGAAAACAATCTGGGGGGTAAGGCAGGAATAAAACAATTACTGAAATTTTTTTTCCGGTTAGATTATACCTGTTCATATCTAGAAGGATGAGCTGT